CTTCACTGGAACTGTCTTTTTAGTTGCTGTTCTTCATCCACACCTTTTTATAGCGTTTGCGATAGCGCTTGAAGCAGCAGGGATTGTGGGTGCGTTTTGGACACTTGTGGTGGATAGGAGGCAAGTTGGTCATGTGAACGCCTCTGAAATTTAAGAGGTTATTCTCTCTTTACTCAAAAAGATGCGATTCTCCACCATTAAAACATCTACGAACAAAATCTAAGGCAGGTAAAAACTGATATTAGCGTAAAATACCTCATACTGGTGTTTATTAGAGGGATACAGTATTTAATCCAAGCGATCCATTTACATTTGGGTCACTCAAAATGGAGACATCAAATAATGGGTATATGTTGCAACAAAGCATGCTGTAGGCATCCAAAAATTGTCAATTTTAATATTTTTATCAATGGCTATTAACTTCACATCGAATATTTGAGACAAAAGTCGCTGTAACAAAAGGTGACAAGTCTGGCTCTGGTATCATTTGATTACCCTCCTCTGAGGACTTAAAAGGTATTTACTTAACCGTCATAAATGACGATGTCTGCTGTTTATGGAGTTGTGTTCATAGGAAGAAATTTAAACCTACTCTGGTTCACATTCGGCTGTAATACGATTGTTTTTCCTGCACGTCCATAGCCAAGGCTTCTGATCACACAAATCCGGCAGGTGCATCGCCTCGAAGTACTCGTCCACAGCATATCGACTCTTCTTCTTCGCGGCCGCAGATCTCATCACCTCCTCTGCCTCACGACGCCTTGACAGCTCCTCTTCGTTGTTTTCTATCTCTTTGCGAATTTGATTGCAAAGCGACCCCATGAAGACGGGATCATTGAGCGTCACCGTCTCGTTCCCCAGTCGTAGTTTCAATTTCTTGGCATGGGATAGCGTAATGGGCTGGTCAAATAGATGACAGGCGGTTTGGTCAACCTGGAAGGGCTTTGCAGCTTTGCCTCGATAGTGGGACTCCAACCCAGGGAGGTTGAGCTCCTGGCTCTCGCGGCGAGGCTGCACTGTGCCTAGAGATCGGCGCTGCTTGTTGGGATTGCTGAAGGGGCTAAGGGAGCCGTTGTACACAGAGCTGAGTTCAAGGTACTTCGACGTGCGCCTGCCCCAGAGCAACTTGTGGTAATCGAGTGCGGGCAGGGGGTTCTCCCTTATCTCGGTCTCATATCGGGTCACTAACTCTGGAGGATATTGTTCGGAGTCAACTTTCAACACGATACTGGGTTTTGTGTCGAGTCGATCCTTAATTTCATCAGCGAGGGGGATCAAGGCCTTGAAGTTGCGCGTCTCATCTGGTGGCACATAGTCTGTGTGCCCGAAGGGCATCTGACGCGAGATCTGGTTGAGGTTTTGGTTCATTTGGGGCGTGCTTTTTTGTTCTGCGTCAGAGGGGAAATGCCGTGCCGCAGCACGTTTTCTTCATGTTCCAACTTCAAGTAATTGATTTTTCGTGAGGGTTTGAATCCTTTGACAGCGGCACAAAATAACAGGGCATTTGAGTGCAGCCCTTTCTCCTTTTTCGGCTGTTGAAAAGCGAATGAACTTGTGACCGTTCCACTTGAACCAGTCTTTGTTTGGCTGTGCTTTACTTGCAGCATCTTTGCAGAGGCACAAAGCTCTCGCCAAACAGTGAAGATTACTGAACTAAGAAGCAGACCCGGATAAAACAACGCAGGAGTGGGTTAATTCTAAACACTTAATTTAAGGTCATTGATTCAATCCTCAAAATATATGCTTTTGCTTGGCTTTTTAAAACTCTAATTGGAAAGGATTTTGTCGATCCTCTCATTTACATGCAGTTTCAAATCCATTGATCTGGAAGGCTGATTTCTTGAGAACACTGTGCATTGTTTTACAAGGGATTGAACTCGTGGTGAAAGTTTTGTGGAGAGATCGGGATTTGTATTCCCTTTGAGGGTTGACAATGTTTTCTAAATCACCAGAATTGTCGAACTCAGTTACTTGTGATCTAAAAGACACAATCAGCAAAACATGTAATGCATAGACTTTTCTTTGATTCAAAGACTGTTCCCAATGTCGTTCTAGGTATTATTTTTGTTAGCGTGTAGGCCCCATCCTCATATCAGATCGGTGGGGTACCTTCACAAGGGCACAGATGGCCACGCATGAAACTGTCGATTGCAAACCAAGTACTCCTCAAGCAGTGGGATTTAAAGCTTCCACCGGCGAGGTTGAAAATTTATGCGGAGCTGCGCTTGGTCTCCTTCTTGATAAATATCAGGTTGGCTGTACTTATGTCTTTTGTCTTGACTATGCTGGACCTAGGTATTCACGGGCAAGGTTGAAAAGTTGCCTAATCTCTTCCTTTGGGTCGCAGGAAATGCCAATTTCCAGAAAGTTATTTTATCAAAATCAATGCTGTTATTTTTTTGTTTCATTTTCATTTTTGTTACCCCGTGGATTAAGAACTAATTCATCTTATCCAAGACTCCTAAAACTGCTTACATTCCCATCCGATGTTGTGACCCGAACGGAAAAAATCTAATTTTTCCAAGAATCACAAAAACTAGGAAGACAGATGATCTGGCTTTACTTATGAAAGAAGTTGCTGTTTTATTGTTCTACTAGATTTTTGCTCTTTTCTCTTTCCTTTTG